TCACCATGATTTGCCTGAAGAATTATGCTTCACTCCCTAGACTGGAGAAGGGTTTCTTCCATGAGCACAAGATGTGGTGAATGCCTGCACCCCAAGGAAGAAGGAGGGATATCAGGGAGTATTTGTTGGGTGAGCAACCAACAGTGCTCTCCACTGACTTTTTGGATAGTAACAGTTTTTATTTTAATACTTAGTATTAATATTTCAATGTTTTATCATATCACTGAAGTAAGCATTGTCTTTCTCTCACATTGATAGAATTATCTTGGTATGCTTCTTAAAGACAAGAGTTATCCTATGGGGGAAGAAAGTTGATCCTAGGGCTTTTTTTTTTTTTTTTTTTTTTTGTTTTCCAACTAAAAAAATTTTAATCAAAAACCCAAAAGCTTTCACAAAAAAAAAAAAAAAAAAAAAACTGTTACAAAAAAAAAAAAAAAAAAAAATCATGTTTATCGCAGCCCAAATCTATCAGTTATTCAGGTAGCATTTCACATTACTTTAAAATAGAATTGAATGGAAATGGGACTAGATACCTGATTTTTAGTTGCCATTTCTGCTTCCTCATAAAATAAATGACAAGATGTTTTTGCAACAGAAATAACTTAACTTTACAAAAATGTTTACAAAAATAGTTTTATTTCGAGAAAAACTGTAATACAGTATAGCCCAATGGTCAAGGAGATGGACTGTGAGGACAATGGAACTTGATTTGAGTCACTGTACCCAGTCTGGTGATGATGTGATAGTAGGACTCACCTGCAAAATAAAGAACATAATCATATCTACTTCAAAGGATTGTTATGAGAGTTGAATGAGATTAAATATGTCCAAAGGCCTACATATATTTACTCTTAACAGAGTGGCTAGTACATAGTAAGCATTCAACAGACTTTGACTATTTTTACTTAAAGCAACATCAACGAAATTTAGAAACATCCAAGTTAGCATTTTCCTACATGATAGTTAAAATCAAACTCGCAACTTTCAGAAGTAATAACTCTGAGAAACAAAATATGAGGGCTGCCACATAGTTTATACTATAGTGTTATGGGAGGTCTGGCATTGGTCTTTGTGCCTCTTCCAGAGAGTAATCCAGTTGGCCTGAAGTGGGTCAAAACTTAAAACCAGAGTGGTGGCTTTACTGTCTTTTCAGGGGAAAGAACTGCCATTAATGCTACATAAACATTAAAATCCCACTTTCCATTGATCCAGGGAGTAGACTGAATGTGTCAATCTGCTTCTTGAGAAGTAAGCAATATGAAGCATGTTGATATGGGTGTCACAAATCTCTTAACTTCCCTAGTTATTGTCCTGGTAAGCTACATATTCTGTATTTCAAGCCAAAACTTCACAAAGGCAGAAAAATTTGGCAGAATGAACAGTGCATGTGGAAATAAACATCAGTTCTTTAGCAGAAAAAATGTATATATGTCCTTCCCCAAACATTACAATTCCTTTTTGTTTCTTAGAATCTGTATATCATGCTTCGCATTAGGAAAACTTTCAATAATTATCTAATCAAGTCAGAAAAATAGCTCATCAGCTTGAGCCCTTGCCTATATCCTCCTGCTCAGATTTTGGGTGTGCCCCTACTGATTAGTCCAAGGGCCCATTTAACTAACAAAAAAGGTTCTTCATGTGTGAGGACATGGAATTGAAGTACTACAGCAGCCATTTTGGTTGTAGGAGCCATGAGGTTTACTTTTTGGATCTAGGACTTTGGGTTGTAAGTAATAAACCCAACTCAAACTTATTTAAGTAAAAAAAAAGAAATGTGTTATAAATGCTACCGAGTATTTTAAACAATCAAAAGCCAAAGGAAATGCCAATGTTCAAGAAAGCTTGAGATGTTACTAGGCTTAAAGAAATTCTGGCAGTGGAGTCACACTCACAATACCAGAAGTTCTCTTCTCCATCTCGTTTGTGTTTCCCTGAAGGGTAGCTTCCTTTTTTCTTATTGGTGCACATTGACTTCCTCCAAACGACAGAAGACTGCAGTTGATTTTCTAGCTTTATATGTTAGAGTTTTAACCACACAGAGTGACACTGACCTTTTCAATTCTAATTCCAAAATCCTGGAGAAACAGGGTCCAACTTGGGTCAGATTAACTGGGGCAGAGACAGTATACCATTTGGATCCATTCAGTGAGATGCCCAATCAACTGCTGCCTATAAGCAGTATCATTGTACCAGTATCGGTTGCAGTAGTTTTAAAAAATTGGGAGGGGCCATTCTCAACAGAAGGGGTGCTGGCCTGACTATTCTATAGATTTCCACTATTGTATGGATATCTGTGAATATATTGCAAGGAAGTAGATAGTGCTAGCTTCCCATATGCCTGCAAAGACTACCTGTGATCCTTGAGAATGTCCCATTAACGCTATTCATTCGCTGTTAGGAAGTTCAGGATGGTGGGATGACTGGAGGCATGGAGGTGGGGTCAGGGGATGATTGCACATGAAAGGAACCGAGCAGGGAGAAGGGAAGGAGGGCGCATCAAGAAAGCACTGCCGACATGAAGCAGAGGGCTCTGGACCACCCAGATCTTTTCGGATTAAATCCTTATGGTTCTCCCAGATGCCTCTTTTCCCTCTTGCCTTACACCTCTTTTTGATATTTTCCCCCATCATTTTTAAAATGAAGACCTTCTGTATTACTTATAAGACTTCTGTCCTCCAGAAAAGCAGTGCTCTACTTTAGGCAAAAGTTTGAAGTAAGACAGAGTCTGTCTCTTGAGAAAACACTTTCCTATGTCTTCTTGTTCTTTTTCTTAGAGTAACAAAATCTTGTGCATTGGAGGAGACCAACCTTCAGGGCCAATGAGTCCATTCATTACTGTGCATATCCCATGTCTGGCATCCATGACAAGTGGCCATCAAGACTACCTGACAACATACCATAAAGGGGCACTCACTGTTTTCAGGAGAGCCCATTCTATCTCTAGATAGTTCCAGTAGGCATACTTCCTTGTATCAAGCTTCTACTGAAACAAAATGTGTCTTTTCTTGTTGTTTCCACCTGTCGGTCCTAGTCCTATCTCCTGGAAATAAAAAGTCTGATCTCTTTCGTATATGCTCAACTTCCAAGACATCTATTGTGTATGTTGCTCCCTATGACCTTCTTCAGGCTGAGTAACTGTTCTTCCTAAAGCTGTTCTCTTAGTATGGGATTTCAAGTACCTCTATTAACTTGGACCCTCTGTTCTAGAAGCTATACTTACTTAATCTCCCTGCCTCCATAACCAGGCATAATCTTCCAGATGTGGAAAAATCAGTGCAGAAAGAATAGAACTAATAATTCTTTCATCATAAATGTAGAACTTCTATTCAGGAAAACCACATTTATTTTTTGGAAAGACCAAACCTATGTTTAGTCACTCCCATGCTGAAAATAATAGTTAATTAAATACTTAAAGATAATAGTTAATTTATAATGAAATTTAAATGATAAAGAATGGTGGTATTTAAATTTTACACGTGAACTTCAGGCATCAGTAGTTGAAATTGGAATGGAAAGGAGGTGGGGGAATTCATGAGTTCCCGTAGTTCTTCAAATCACACGTCTGCTTCACTTCCTATTTATAACGCTTGTACTATCCATTAAGTGGGCAAAGTAAATCCATATTGAAGGATCATTTGATTCCTTTCTTCCTCTTCATGAAATCTATATGCTTAACAAATATTTTTGTCTTGGTTACATATACAAAAGAAGGCTCTGAGGTAAGCACTCCAACACACGCCTAACCCTAAAGGAACTAATAATTTAGAAGCTATAAGACAAGCCCTTTGATCCCCTCACTGGAGGATGCTGTGTAAGCCAGTGAATCAAGGAAGAGCAAGAAATCACCATGTTGGATTGGGTGTCACTATGGTTTAGTCTGAATAAACTCTTTTTTAAAAAAATAAATTCTTAGCTTTCTTGTTTCACAAATACAGCTAGAAGAAGAATTCAATTTCAAGGAGTTGGAGTGAGGCTTGAGGGGTCAATCAGAGAAACCCCAGCCCTATGTAAAATGGACATCCTAAAACAGAGACACACTGAGTCCTGCCTTTATCTGTAGTCACTTATGGGTTCATCAGGAAAACTGATTATCTCAGAAAATAACGCAGAATATTCTCTTCTAAATTTATGTATTTTCAAGTTTAAAATGAGGGCGTGGCATAAATACACACACACATACACACACGTGCACACACACATATATTCCAGGTCAGACAAATTTAAATTTTTGAATCTTAATATATACTATGAAATAAGTGGTGACATTTTATAAATCTCATCATGAGCATATCCACTCATTCTTTTGTTTTTTCTAAGGACATCTGAATATGTGACAAGTCCCTCAGCATTGACAACAATAGCTGTCCCAGGCCCTGTGAATTTGCATATCAGCAAAGGAGTTTGGCTTTTTTTTTTTTCTGTCAGCAACATATGTCCCTAACCTTCTTCCATCTCCATTAAGGAAGTTAAAAAATTATGACAGACTCAAGATAGGGCTGGAAGTCCTAGTTTATAGCCACAAAGCTTGTTAGTTCTCTTGTGTTGGTAAAGCTAAAACTGAGATTTCATCATCTTGTTAACCTCAGAAAGTTTGAGTCTCGTAGGTTCAGTATAACCTTAACCTCATTTGGTTACCACAAGGGAGGAAACGCAAGACTGTAGACAGCTCGAAGCTACCTACCACACAACTGAGAAAATAAATGTAAGATTCCTCAGGATAAGGAGGACCGACTTCATCTTCCAGGTACAACTCATCGTTGTGTTTAGCAATTTACATAAAGGATTCCAGTCTCAGTATCATTTATTATTCTTCTGAACAATGCTAATAAACATAGTATTCATAATCTCTCCATTTTAGAATTAAAACAATCTTTATAAGTGGCGTGCTACATTGAATAATTGAGAGTATTTTGAGATGAGTTGCTTTTTCCACAAACAAGGGCAGAATTACCTATTTTCTAATTCCTTTACTTATAGAAGATCTTTTATTTCTCCAACAGGTTGTTAGGTTTTTACAAGGGAATTCTGCCACCCATCTTGGCTGAAACACCAAAAAGAGCAGTGAAGGTAAGTGAAAATAGACTACAGCTTCAGCATTAAAACATCCCACAACAATCTATAGGACATAACGTGAATTAAACATAAGACAGTAAGATTTTTAATGCAGAAATTATTTTATTATAATTATACTTGATCAATCTCTCAATCATTGATTTGTGGATTTTTTTTTTAAGTAAAGGCACTTCCTTCTAATGGGGAAATTATATAAAAAACATAGTAGTGAATGAAATTCATGTAACCAAAACACGACAACCACAAAATAGCTTGGACTTTTTCTCAGCAATTTATAAATTTTCCTTTGGAGCAATAATCATTAAAGAAAGAGAGAGGAAAAAGAGAAAAGAGAGGAGAGGTAGACAAACCTTTCTCCCTAAATTATTTCCATTTTATGAACATAGCAAACTAATACACTATATTTTCTTGTATAAGACTCTCATGTAACACATTTATTTGGAATGCTAACTTCATTTCCCCCACCCCTGGTCTCCTCTGTTAAAATTTTCTATTCTGGTTTTTACAAAATTATTACTTCCACAAACCCGATTTCCATCTCTTTAACCACATAACTATGTAGTTTTATGTACTGCTTACTGGTTCAGTATCTGGATACAACACAGAGATCTGGCAGGACCTCCAAGGAAGAAAGAACTAAATCTGATCACTTTTTTATATGTTCTCTCAGACAAAAGTCCTGATCACAGTGAGTCTGACTGGCATTGCCCTACACCCCCACACCACTGACATACTAAATATGGCTTTGTCTTTCCATAATAAGTATAATATAAACTTAGACTGAAAGACTTCCTTTCCAACCTAAGACATAAAACTTTTTCACATACATTGTTTGGTTTATATACCTGATATTTCTAAAAGGTAAAAAGGGGCAGATTATATAATTTTACTGAGTAAATTAAGAGAGTGACTAGGTTAAAATTTATGATAAAATAACCACAATTTTACACAGACACCAAATTTTTATATTATGCCAAAATTGTAATTTAATAAGATCTAATTCAGGTCTAGAATTCAGAAAACATAGATTTAAAACATGCCTTCTCTATCAATTCATCCTCTTTGTTGCCATAGTTTTTGTGATTTTATATTATTACTTCAACACAAATTTTATTATAAGGATCTGAATCACAGGAGAGAATCTGGAAAACGTTCACCAAAGTACACAAGAGGGCTGAATTGAATTATGAAATGGCTTCACTTGATAAAAGATTGCCCAAATAAACAAACAGAGCAGAGTTCCTGTTCAAAAGGGAAGTCACTTTGTCTCCATGGAATAATATATTCATTTGTTCAGGGTTTTACATGTATAAATAAAGTAAATTATAATTAAAGTTTTCCTGGAATATTTTTCCTTAATACTATACATTGGAGACAATTTGAACTTTAAGAGGATTAAGGTTTATCAATGTTGAACAGTCTTATGGAAAAAAAAAAAGTTGAGCTTTACAAAACTGAGTTAGTCTCTCCTTTTAAAAAAGCAATGCTCCCTGCCAGAACAATGGTTAACAGATGAACTTTTGGGCAACTGGATATGGTATATGCATCCCAGACATCTTGTTTCAAGTAGATTTTACCTTAAAATTATTGAGACATATGGTAAGTATGTTGGCTTTTTAAGTATAACTTGGAGTTAAGTGTATCTTTGCCAGATGGATAGCACTATTTTTCAACTCAATTTATGAAAACATTCATTTTATAGATATTTATCCTAGGATTTGTGAGGAAAGCGATCATCTGACTGTAATGATTTCATACATCATAAACTGCTTCATTGTATGTCATCGAACTTCAGAAAAAATATTCTAAATATATGTGTGTGCGTGTGTGTATATATGTGTGTATGTGCATATGTATATATACATGCTCACACATACTGTTATTCATATATATAGTCTGAATATTTTATACATATATGGACATAGATATAGATCTTCTCTGGTACTACCATTTTAGTTACAATTATTACTCTCATCAGAAACAGACAATGTTCAGTTTTTTCTGTACTGTATTCTTTGAAATAAATTCATCATTAAAATAATAAGACTCATTGATGCTAAATAAATGAAACTTCCCCCTTTATAAATTAAGACAAAATTAGTATTGCACTTAGCAAAAGGAAGTGAAGCCCTCAGAAAGAGACCAACTGCTTCCTCAGAAAATGAGAGGCACCATGTTCCAGGTCCCGGGGTCTAGTCTTGAGCCTTGCAGACCCGGTAACACCAGTTTTCCATGGTCAGACTTCCAAAGACTGCCCAATGCTAAGCAAACTCATGAGGGATTATAAATTGTAAAAGCTATTTGCTTACCACTGTCTCCATACCTGTCATTGTGTCTATACACAGTACATGTTCAGTTGATTTTAGATGAATAACTGGAACATATATAGAGAAAGCAACAGAAAATGTATTGATTTATAACAGGAGACATTCCTGTACTCTTCCTTTAAATTCCCATATCTACTCAGAGTTTCTGGAAGGCCAAGATTTCCATTTCTAGACGAAATGGACTGGTAACAAGGACTAGATTTACTCTCTTGCCCGAAGCAACAACAACAAAAAATGAACAAAGTACATGAAACCACAATTTTCAAGACACTGGACATCAGACAAGGAAGGGTAGAGAGACAGGAAGCAAAGGAGATAAACCCTATGGATTGCTTCACCTTACTGGTCTTGAGAGGATTTCCTGGCCCAGGGTCAGGCAGGGCAAATCTAGGCAGAGCCCAGTGGACTCCCTGGGTTGGGAGGGACCTGAGAGGCTGGGGACAGCAGGGCACCTAGAGTTCACAGGACACAGTACCAGAGGATAGAGTATATATAGAGAGAAAAGTCCTAAGGTCTGCAGAGGGACCCCTTAAGTATTTAGCTGAGAACTGACCAGTGTATGCATGTGAGAAAGCTAGCAAGGCCTGGGAAAGAGCCATCCAAGGATTAGAGGGAGTGGTGCTCCGAGTCACACAGGGCTGAGACTAGTACCTGCTCCCACCAGCCAAACTGGAAGGCTTCCAAGTGCACAGGCCATTGAGAGGAGTACTCAGAAAGGGTTTGCCTCCATGGTAATATAATGATAAAAAATAAGAAAGAAAGAAAAAGAATGTATCTTACACTGGAAGGGAACAAGGTAGTAAGGTCTTTTGTGAAGTTCATGTTCTTCCAGAAATTCTCTGAACCCAACATGGGCCCCTTAGAGCAGTGTTTTCAAAATGTGGGTCATAACCATATGAGTCATGAAATCAGTTTATTGGGTCACTAGATGTCATGGGTCCTAACCAGGAAATTTTCTTTAATGAAATAGCATAGAAACAGAATTATACATAATAAGGGGTAAATATTATTTTATAGAAATGTTTTGTTTCAGTTATAAATACAAGAGTGCACTGTGTCCCTGCATGTGCATACATGCACCTGTATTGGGCAAATATTTTTTACATAGACTGTGGTCAAAAAAGTCTGAAATCTGCCTTGAGGGACTCTGGGCTTCCAGAGTCAAGGAAGGTAAGAAGACCTCAGCACCAAGGAAACTCTAGGGCAGAGAATTTCTACCCAAACCACTAGCAATCATGGCTCAGTCGGGAGTGAGAACAGTATCATGGTTAAGAGCATACACAGGCTTTGGAGTTAGATGTAGGGGGAAGTCTCAGCCTTTCCACTCACTAGCTGCAGGACACATATCTATAAAACAAGAGTCATGGTTGTACCATAACCCATGACCCGAATATGTTGTATGAATTATATGCAGAAGCCCACACAAAGGCCATAGCATGGTTCCTGGACCACAGCAGCCTCTCCTGAGTGATACCAATAAAAGGCATCTTTAGTGCCTTTCGAAACCAAAGTGAAGAAAGGCAAGAGAAACTCAGACTTTGTGCCAGGCATGCCAGGAAATCTGACTTCCATGCTCTGATTCAAGGACTGCTCTGAAAAGTAAGTTTTGTGTTCCTGAGGGCTAGAAAGGTCAAGCAGCTCGCCCACTCTTTCAAAGCTAAGTAGCATGGTCAGGATTCAGATCTGGGACTGCTCCCATCAAAATCCCAGCAAGGTAATTGCAAAAACAGAGTGATGATGATGACCATAAAAAAGAAGAAAAATTATCTTTAAAGCCTAGGACTATGACACATTTCCTTCTATGGTTAATGGTTTCTAGTGTATCTCTCATCAAAACAGTGGTAGCCCCTGGTGGTGTTGTTATAACCCCAGGATAGTTGCAGGTTATCACCATCCACTAGAATGTTAGAGTGAGAAGGCAGGGGTTCTCTTTGTTTACTACTGCATCCCCAGTGCCTCTTAGAACACAGCAGGCATCCGATGAAATATTTGTCGAATGAGTGGATGAATGAATCCCTGTTCTAGAAAAGACTACATCCATAGTTACTCTAAAGAAGCATGGCACAAAAGTAGTCCTTGGTTCTTTGAGAAAATCGAAATCTATCTGGTGATGTGATGACTCTTGGCCTGCCCAAACACTCACGTAGAGCCATATCTACATTACAGAATGACCTCTTTCTAACAACAGAGTATTATTTAGCTCTCAAATCTACATTTTTTTTTCTTGCTCCATTTTACTGGGTTATGAAGTAAGAGAGTAGGAGACATGTGAGACCATGAAACATCCATGCCATTTCTGGGGTCTTCAGAAACAGACCCTCGCAGGACTTAAGAGAGTGTCTTATCGGCAATGTTCGCAGCTATCTGACAGAATACTCGGGAGCAAAACATCATGTTCAAGCAGAGTTGTTGCCCAAAGTGTAGACTATAGAAAGGGCAGAGAAAAAAATGTATTCTGGGTGTATTATACGAAGTAATTGATTAGATTTGCCTCCATGGAAATAATATTAAACATCATCTTTGGAAGGAACCAAGAAAATCTTCTTCATCATCATATTTTAAAGGAAGGAATAAGCAGCTCTCCTCTGTTCAGGTAGAGAACAGTCTGCTTTTAAGCAGGGACAGACTATATAACCTCGTTGGGTCCTTTCCTCGTTTATCATGGCATCTTCATCATCACTAAGTGTTTAGAAATTCCATGGAACGGCAGAGATACACAGCAATACAAATGCAAGTCAAAGCTGAGAAGTTAGAAAATCGGGCATATGCTGCGAAAGCAGTTCATAGAGAAAACAGAGGAGACCAAAGATTTCAGGTCTCTGTGCCTGTAATTTTGAATCACTGCCATAGAAAAGAAGTCTATTGATGTCTTGGAAAACTGAAAATGGTCGTGGTAAATGGAAGCTGTATGGTTCATTTACTGCTATAGAGGAATCCAACAGCTCTTCTGTAGGTTATTGTAGCTGCATTTAAAAATGTGAATGTTAAAGTAAGATCCAAGAGCAACTGCCCGAGACCAGATTAAAAACTCTTTGATGGTTTATCATTTTTTTAAATTGATGGCTAATATAATGATTTACTAAAGAAATTTGAGTCAATTAAAGGGTTTGTTGCAGGAAATTGTTATAAATCTCTGGGTTCGGTTTTCTTTCACAGTTTTTCACCTTTGAGCAGTATAAGAAATTGCTAGGATATGTGTCACCGTCACCAGAATTGGTAAGTGAGAGTATTTATTATGCTTAAGTGTGTGTGTTATTTCATAAAGCAAAATCTGGAAACAAAAAGCCTTTTGATTCCCCAAGCCCAGCTACTAAAATATGAATTCGAGTTATTCAATGTTCAGCTACTTGTTGAAAGCCATCTTCCTAATAACTCACAATTTGGCTATTTTACGGCACCTAGTGATGAATTTATGATAATAATGATACGTGTAGAAAGGTTTATATGAGATATGGTCAAAAATATAAAATAAAGAGTATGTTTTTCAAAGCACCTTTAAAGCCAAAACATGCATATCTTTACATACATACTGCACATATCTATTCATGCAAAAGTCAATATTCCTAAAATTATTTCCTAACAGGTCACTTTTTCAGATTTTACTTAAGCTATAGTAAAGATAGGTCACTCTGTGGTCAGACACAGACTGAAGGTCCTTTTATAGTCAGGGAGAAGAGTGATCTCACAATGACACATCTCAACTATCACATGAAAATCACTTGGTGATTTGAACATTTCCCAGTGCCACTCCTTTCTTTCTTGGTGACTTAGCCACTTTTCATAAAACAAGTTAAGTTATATTGACCAAGTGGGTTCTACAAATATGTATGCAGTGAGAGCCCCAGAGATAGCAAATGCAGTAATTTCTCCCTCCAAATCTACAAAACAAAAGAAAGTGAAATATCTGCATTGGCCCTCCAGTTGGCAATGTGATTTCCAGCCTCTAGGAAAATAGCCCAGTTTGCCTGCTGAAATGTACCTCAAAACTCAACCAGAGAGGTAGTGTTCTGAGCTTCAACTCTTCAATTATTTCACTTGTAAAGGTTCATTTCAAAATATTTACTCTGCCAAATAGACTGTCCAAAAAGTATCTGTTATTTAAAAAATCATACATGTCCCTTTTCTAGGAAGGATCATATTAAGAAAACTAATAGCATCGCTTAGTGGTATGACAGAGAAACCTTTCGTTAGCCTCCTACCTAAACAAGGTGGCTGTGAGGTGGCCTAATATGGAAGAACTGGGAGCATGAGTTCTAAAATTAGCTAAGATTTTTTTTGTAATTCCTCAGCGTCTTCCCTTAATGTCACTCTTAACTTTGAAAACATCTTGTTAAAAAGAGGATGAAAAACCTTTCTAGAAAAAGACCATAAAATATGGTCTCCAGAGGGCCAGCTGGCTGTTCTGTGTGGAGCATCAGTACCATGTGAGAGAATGCAGTTCTTTCAACTCTCTTGAGGATTGAAACAGAAAAGCATTTGGCCACTCCAGCTACCATACTGAATGCATGCAAACTGTATAGAGTTTTCCCCCTTTTCTTGAGCTCATTTATTCCAGTTTCTTTTTGATACAGCTAGACACTTAAACAGCTGTTAAATGTCCCCTGGTGCTCTCACATGAAAAGCCTGGGAGGCTGGGAACCCGACAGTTACTGCTAGTCTCTGGAACAATCCAAGTAACATGATCTGCTGATAGCTGATCAATTCTTTTGACAAGGGACTGCTGAACACTATTTCTGACAGCAAATGTAGCTGAGTTTATAGAAGAACAAAAAAGTGAATTACTTGGAAGATTGCATGTAGTAATAAAAACCTGAACATCTGGATTTTAGCTTTTTCAGTCAAAAAAGTTGGGACTAGTATTTTTTTTTCCCCCACTTTGGCTTCCATGATGGAAGTCTGAGATAAATGAATAAAATATTTGGCCTGTTACTCTATACAAATATGTTTAAAATTGTAATGAGTGGCATGAAAGGAAAACATCATTAGTTATTTCCTCTCTGCTAGAATCTGTACGCAATGCCATTCTTCCTCTCCATTTTTATGTGCAACAATAAGAATGGTTTTTGTATAGCACTTTACAAAAGGATTTAACACATGATTTTGACTGTCATAATAACTTTATTAGGTAGAGAGATTAGATGTTACTATCTCCATTTTACAGATGAGAAAACGGTGGCTTATAAAAGATTCAGTGATTTAAGCACAGAGAGAGCTACAGCTAGCACATATGGTGTCTTTATGTGAATTATTATAAGGCACCCCTTTTTCCTGACTGATGCCTCTCCAGGGCTCTGGCTTGGCAAGTGGGGTACAGGCTGGACTTCGGCCTCCACATACACAAACTAATGTACGTGGCAGCTCTGGTCTAAATCAGCCAATAAGTGGCAGAACCAGGACCTAAACCCAGACCTCTTAGCTCTGGATCCTGCCCTCGTTCCACCTTGCCTCCCCTTCTGAGGTTATGAAACATTCCTTTCTCCCTTTTCTCCTTTAGTCTCCTACTTTAAAGAAATTAGAGACTCCTCATAAGAGTTATCTGTTCTTTACACTTCATTGGCTTTTTTCTCCTCTTAATTGTATATAGCACTACTTCCTCTCCTGGAATTAGAGCTTCAGCACTTAAGAATTTTTTTAGCATCTGTTTTGCAGGTTTGAAGCTTTGTTTCATTTTGTTTTCCTGCTCTGTGTGCATGTGTGTGTGTGTGTGTGTGTGTGTGTGTGTGTGTGTTGCCATGGTTATTTTTGATATAGATTTCCTAAATTTTTTTAAGCGTTTTGTAGAGGAAAATTCTACAAAGTCGTTCTTTCCTATTGCCCAAATTCTTAACGGATAGCAAATAAGAACCTGTCATGTGGACATTCTTGGATAAATGTTCTAGATTTTAGGTGAGCCCTTCAGAACGACCTAGATATTTCTGATCTCAGCTTTCATTCCTCTGCTTCTAGGACTAGAAGAACAGGGCAATTATCAGTTTAAAAAAAAAAAAAAGAGTGAAAGGATGAATAAAAAATAATTTTTGGTTTGATGTTCATCTAGAATAGTGACTCTAAGAACACGGCTGTACATTTAAATGTTTTGAGCTATATGCTGTTTGGTTACCTGAAATTTAGCTTTTTATAAATATTTTATTTGTGGTTCTGCTCCTTGGATTTTTTATCAGCTCAGTAACTGTATTTAAGTAGATGTTTAAAAACGAAGCTCTCCTTTTACAAGTCAAACTCTCTTTTAATTGTTACATATGCAGACGTTTTAGTATTCACCTTAAATCAGTAAAACAACCTTTCTTTTCATTAAAGGAAAAAGTCATTGTTGATGGGGCTTTGACATTTTATTTTGAATTGTTAGGATGTGGTTTTCAGCTTCTGTGATTTCTTCTTCATGAATTGTCAGCATCTAATCAAGAACTAAAGCTGTTTAGTAACGGTATATGGTGCATTTGTGTCAGTTTCTCTAGTCTCATCATAACATTTAGCAGCATAGTGTTACGAGTAGGATGCTTAACCCAGTACATATGATAACTTATTTTAAAGTATTGACTAATTTAATTTTTCTAGACATTTGCCATTGCTGGACTGGGATCTGGACTAACAGAAGCCATCGTGGTTAACCCTTTTGAGGTAGTAAAAATTGGCTTGCAAGCCAATCGGAACACATTTGCAGAGGTAATCATTTAAAGTTTTCCTATTATTGAGGAAATATAAAAGATTATTTTTTTAGTATATATAAAAAATTATGAACCTAGCTCTTATTCACTTGCTAAAGCCATAGAAAATTATTGTTAACAAAAATGCACTTAGGTCTGATGGACAAACACATGTTTACATATTTTTATTTTAGCGTTTTAATGTACTCTATGGTGACATATTTGGAAATGTTTTCCTTTTGTTTGGCAACACTTCTATTTCACATTATACTAGAATAGACTATAGCAAAAGCCACTGAGGCGATAATATTATTATGCTTTAAAAAAAATTATGAAGTCATTTTTTTTGAAATTACCTCACTCCTTT